CTGGCTACGATATTCTTAGGTGGTCTTGTGGACAACACACACTCGTCACGAAATTATTTTAGGACCAACCGTTTTAAGTTATTATATAAAATTTATACTTGCTAAATCTTGGCAAAAATGGCGCCTGTGGCCTAATGGATAAGGCGTCTGACTTCTAATCAGACGATTGTGGGTTCGAATCCCACCAGGCGTGTTTGTTTTAATTGCTGTTTTTCTGTTGTTTCTAACAATTTAGGCGTGAAGAAACCAAATACAATTAATTACTTTTTGCGTCTACTCGCATTACGGTTTTATATATCCCATTTAGAAACCTTAGTTTTACTTGTATCATTGCGTTCTGATCGCTGAGTTTCCCCCCCTTTTTGATGGAATGAGCAAAATATTTTTTTTGGGGGTGGGGATTGTGTGTGAGTTCATAACTTAGCAATATTCATTTGCCTGTTTAGACTGTGAAGAAGGTGGTTCTTTTGTTATTTTTTTTTTTTGCACCCGATGTAACTTGAAATGTGTTCAAGAGGGTATTCGTATTTTTAAACTTGCTGATTTGGGTTATGATTATGGGTTAAACTTTTCTCGTATTTGGGGTTGCTTTCCTGATCCTAGAACAACACAGTTCTGTTGGGGGGAGGAAAAGAAAGGGAAAGGTGCCTTTCTTCGAAACTATAAGTTGCTCTGCGTTGTTTTATAGAATGGTGTCTTGCTTTTGTGTTTGTTATGCATAGGTACCAGAACTGTCCCTTTTACATAAAGGGGTAGCTCTATCGAGTATCATTTCATGTTGGAGATTGTTTAGAGGAAATTGTTTCAAAATCATGGACCAAAAATGGGGAATTTGTTTAGCAGTACAATTCATATAAGGCCAACCAGTAAATTGCTGTAGGCAAAATGTAAAAGGAATAGACAAACAAGCAACGCGTATGACTTGAAATTTGGCTGTTCATCATGACATCAAATCTGTACCAGAATTTCTTGGTCATGCTTAGACGTCTATATTTGGAATTTACCCCATAACTAAAAAGGCTAGTTGTATTGATAAAGTTTAGAACTCATCAACATCTTAAACAGAAAGAGAATCTTGAAGCATTTTGTAAGTTTGTCATCTGCTTCGGTGCCCAAATTTTGGGAAGCGGCTGTGTAAGATATCACGATGACTTGTCATATTTGAATTTGCACCCCTCTGGCTAGTTCTAGAATCTATCAATTACACAGATGACCTTCTTGATATGCATATCTTTATCACTAGTAGCTCTTCTCTGAGCAGGTGATCTTGTTCAAATCTATATTAACATCCATTACTTGTGAAAGTTAAGATATTAATTGAATTACTTTTTCACATTGAATGCTTATTAAAACCAAAATTTTAGGATAAAATCTGGGCGTACTCCAACAGAACACTTCGCTATTGCACTGAATAGGCAATCTTTATGTTCATGATAATCAAGAGGATTTCTTGATGTTATTTAGTTTCGCGTATTTGATTCATGTGAAATATGATTTACTAGCATGGCAAAAGAAGTGGTACTAGTCTTGATTAACTATGTTTTGCACCATTTTCCTGATGCTCTCAATTATTGTGTTGGAATATTGATGACAAAGGTTTTAAATACTCTTGTGACTGCAGGTAAGCTCAGGAAGATTATTGTAAAAGGATTTGTAAATTGTAGTAAGATTGTATAAAGGAGATTGTTCATCCAATTGTGGAGGATGAGTAACCAGAGTCGAGGTGCAAGTTTATCTCTGACAGCATACCCCACTATTAAGCGGAGATGTGGGCGTCCACGTAAGGATAGTAGTATTCAAGGGGACAGCACACTTTTGACACATCCATCTGAGAATCTCGAAAACAAGCAGAGCGTGGGAACAAGTGACCCTACCTCTGATGACATGGTTGGTCAGATGGTTTCTGGTGTCATTGAAGGTTCATTTGATGCTGGATATCTTCTTAGTGTTCAGGTGGGTGATACCAACACACACCTTAAGAGGTCTTGTATTTCTACCAGGGCGACACTCCAATTACTGCTGAAAATGACGTAGCTCCAGATGCTAAGATGTACGAAACAAAAAGGATTTCTATCCCATCTGTAAATGCGCAGGATCATCTCCAGGTTGTGAGTTCAAGGAAAAGTTCGAAGTGTGTTGACCATAAAAATGATGCACCTAACTTTCCAGAACAAGGTCCTGTAAAAGGTCTTCCGCCGGGGCAAAAGGTCCTGCAAGAACAAATCTTAGATCCTGGAGTGCATAATGATAAAGCTCTAGGACAGGATCAGTCACTTCTGGGATATGAAGCCTCCAAGCTGATGAAAGGACCAATTATTAACTTAGAGGTACTTAATGCAGATGAGCCAGTGTTTGCAACATTTACTGCTACTTTGCCAGCATCCGAGGAAGTAAATCTGAACCCTCAAGTTGAAGACAGGGTTGTATATTCTAATCTTAAGCCAAAGGAATTGTTTCGTGATGATGATACAGGATTTGAAGCCTCCAAGCTGATGAAAGGACCAAACATTAACATAGAGGCACTTAATGCATCTGAGCCAGAGTCTGCGAGATTTACTGCAACTGGAAATTTTGAGTCTCAAGTTGAAGACGGGGCCGTATGTTCTTATCTTAATGATCTTAAGCCACAGGAATTGTTTAATGATGATACGAGATTTGAAGCCTCCAAGCTGATGAAAGGACCAAACATTAACGTAGAGGCACTTAATGCATCTGAGCCAGTGTCTGCGACATTTACTGTAACTTTGCCTGCAACTGGAACTCTAAATCTTGAGTCTCAAGTTGAAGACAGGGCCGCATGTTCTGAACTTAAGCCATAAGAATTGTTTAATGGTGATACAGGATTTGAAGCCTCCAAGCTGATGAAAGGACAAACTATTAACGTAGACACTTAATGCATCTGAGCCTGTGTTTGCAGTATTTATTGCTAATTAGCCAGAGACTGAGACTGTAAATCTGAAGCATCAAGTTGAATACAGGACCATATGTTCTGATCTTAAGCCACTGAACCTGTTTCTCGATGACACACAAAGCCTTGACCTTGGTAACAGCCAAACTCCCAAGTTATCTGAACCTCAAGCCAATGCTAGTGAACCCACTCGAACCAACATATTGGAAAACATTCGTCATCAATGCAAGACATATTTCTCAAGATACTGAATTGGAGCTTGCTACGAATAGTATTGGTGGACTCTGCAATGTTGTTCCAAAATTGGCTCCATCTTTTTGAAATTGAAATTTGGAAGTGAAGATCGAAAAATCTTGCACTTTGTATAGTTGTATTCCTAAAATGGACATAAATTTTGCAACACATAGGTCTGTAAATGAACTGAACGTTTAGTGAACCGTTCATGAATCGTGCGGCGGGAAGTTCGTTTATGTTCGTTTATTTATTAAATGAATGAACATGAACAAGATTTTGCGTTCGTTTAATTAAATAAACGAACATGAACAAAGGGCTCGTTCGTTCATTTGCGTTCGTGAACGTTCGATTATATGTTCATTTATGTTCGTTCATTTATGTTCATTTATGTTCGAACAGAGGGCAAGTTGAATATATTACGAAGATTATTGAAGTTGTTTGGATTTCAAGAAGATTGTTTTGTCGAACAAATTAACTTTAAGACTTTATTATGTTCATATAGCTTATTTATGATTTATGTATGTTTTTGTCGTATTCGAACAAATTAACTCTAAAGTTGCATGTTATATTAAAGAATTTTAAGTTGTTATTCTTGTTTACTTTTTTTACATTCATTTGTTGTGTTCGAATAAGTTTATTTTTTGTGTTTGTCTTATTCGTTTATGTTCGTTTATGTTCGTTTATTGTGTTTGTTTATGTTCGTTCGCTTGTGTTCGTTTACGATCGTTTATCATTTAAATGAACAAGCATGAACGAACATGAACAAGCTATATTCATTAATGAACGAACATTAACAAAAAAAAAATTCGTTTATATTCGTGTTTGTTTATGTTTGTTTATTTATTAAATGAACGAACATGAACATACCTTCGTTCATGCGCGTTCGGTTCATTTACAGGCCAAGCCAACACACCTTGTAAATTATATAATCGCAAACAAACCATATGTTCGCGGATTTTTTTAAAATGTGAAGTATATTTTATCCCCTAATTTATATGTTAATCATTCTATAAAAAGTATGTAATGAAAAGAGTATTTGGACAATTTTAACTAAATATTATTTTAGCTGTTATGATTTTTCTTTAAAAAAAGGTTAAATATACTATCGATCACTTAATTATCGTCCCTAAAAAATGCAAAGAAAGTGACTTGATTGAATGCATTTAAATAGTTGAGTGACCTGATTGAAAAAAAATCAAAAATAGTGATCAAAATTAAACCTTTTATTTTCCTTTACTAAAAAAACCCCTTTTTTCTAACTAATTTTAATTATCTAAACAAAAATTATATATATTATCTCATTTCCTTCTTTCCTTTCCTTGGCAATTTTTAGGATTCATTGTAAATATAAAAAAATGTTATTTAAGGTATATTTGATGATTTTCCTATTTGTGAACACTGACCGTAGCAGTGTTTTAATGGTTGATTTAGTCATGATAATCACAGGTCTTCTTCACTTAAAATATGGGATAATTTGGATTTTGACATTAACTTCTTCTTCTTCTTTTGTCACAAATCAGTTTCCCTTTTGGTCTTATAAGTAAGAGGTGTACTCTACGGTCTGAAAGAGAAAGCCAATGGGTCTAGAAAGCAACTAAGTCATGGTCTGGAATTTTAACCTTTAGTCTTCCAAATTAAGGTTCCATTCTTGTCTTTAACTCTTCATTTTGTTTTGTCTGGTAATTAACAATTACTCGGTGAGTAGCTGCTCTTACTGAATTTAGAGTTTCTTCCTAGGAGAAAATTCTGGGTTTTAAGTGATTGCTTATGAGATCTTTTGAGTTTTGGTTGGTTTCCTCTTTGTAATTGGAATCGTTGTTTTCTGTCTCGTTCTCTAATTCATCAAGGATTTTACTAGATTTCATACTAGAGTCCGAATGGATTTACATTTGAAGAACCTGTTTGATAGATTCCAGGAGCATTTTGGTTCCGGTCTTGGCCTCGGTCCTGGATCTGGGACATGCCTTACGAAGGTGGAAGGCATTTCTTCTAATTTTATAAAGTCACTATTTAAAGCCTCTGCAGCCCTATATAGCCCTGGACATCTGTTTCGTATCCGAGTCGGGAAAGATTCAGATTGGTATGGGAAAAAACAGCCTTTTCCTTGTTCCCAGTTCATTGGAGCTGGTGGGAATATTGGGTTTTATATGTTTAGATCTGAAAATGATGCTAAGAGGATGACAGGATCGAGGGAGACAATTCGAGTTCCAAATGCTGAGCTTTTGAGGGTTATATATGAGCTTGAGAAGTTAATGTTTCCTTCCAACCGCAAGATGATCAAGTCATTGTCACTGGAAGCCTCTGGGAACGATCGGTTCCCTGTTATTGATGTCACACGCTGCACGTCTTCAGGTGAGCTTCAGTTTAGGAATCCTACCCTGGAAGAACTAAAGTTTGTCTATGCTTTCATGAGAGCCATTTCTCTGGTGCACCCATTGCTTCAGGCAGATAAAGGTGGTGGTTCAAACTGGACAAGGTTGATATGTTTCGACCCCTTTATTGAAACAGTTGACATTCAGTGGCCTCTAGAAATAGCTAAAGGTCATGAACTTGTTGATGTTACAATCTCTCATCCACCTGGTCAGGCATATGAAGAGAAGACGAGTTCAACAGCCAGCTCAACACCAACCAAGTATGCAGAGCCACCAGATGAGGCCACCTTCATGGATATTAAACTCAAATTCCAGCTCAAGGTATTGTGCAATGTGTGAGAAAGAAGTTAATGGAGAACAGTCTCTCTGCTGCGGACGATGTCGAGCAGTGCTCTACTGTACTTCTCTATGCCAAAAGCAGCACTGGAAGGAATCACATAAAAGCATGTGTGGTCTGTACAAAGCTATGATGGAAAGGGAAGAAGAGCTGTTGAAAGTATTAAAATGGTTTTCAAAGTTTGGTAAATGTTTCTTTGAAAATGGTTTTCAAAGTTTGGTAAATGTTTCTTTGAAAAATAGTTTTTCAAAGTTTGGTAATTGTTTGTTGAAAAATGATAATGGGATAATCACAATTAATCCCTAGGTTTTAGGGTATTTACAAGATTAAGTCCTTAAGTTTCAACTATAAATACCATAGCTCATTTAGCTTCAAAACCATTCTAAAAATCATTTCTTTCTCCCAATACTAGAGAGTTTTCTTGTGAGCAGTGAGTGTTTTGTAAACACCTGTAAATTTTCTCTCTTAGTAAAAGATCTGCAGCAGTCCGGAGACGTAAGCACAATTGGCTGAACTCCGTTATCAATTTCGGGTATTATTTTTCCGCTTTTATTTCGTATTCTCACTACTCTGGTAATAGGGAAATTACTTGTACTTGGTTTATTTCCTAACAACTGGTATCAGAGCTTTTGGTTGTGAATTCTGCCAATTTTTTGCGAGGTTACTATTTGGGTTACTATTCACGTTAATAGTAAATTTCGTGAATAGTGAAATTCGGTCGGCGATACGAGTTTGTCGACGGAGGTGTTCTAATACACGACGGTTCGCGAAAATTGTCAGAAACGATCCAAACGAAGCCAGATTCGAGTGGGAGCGATGGCTGCAGACGAAAGGAAGGTGAAAATTAAAAAGTTCGATGATGCGGACTTTGGATTTTGGAAGATGCAAATTGAAGATTTTCTATACCAGAAAAATCTATATCAACCACTCTCAGGAAAACAACCAGAGGGCATGAAGAATGAAGACTGGGCTCTTCTCGACAGACAAGCCCTCGGAGTTATCCGACTGACGTTATCCCGCAATGTTGCTTTCAACATAGCAAAGGAAAAGACCACGGCGGGTCTTATGACGGCTCTCTCCAGTATGTATGAGAAGCCATCGGCCTCAAACAAAGTTCATTTGATGAGGCGATTATTCAATTTGCGGATGACGGAAGGGGCATCGGTGGCACAACACCTAAATGAACTCAACACAATCACAACCCAGTTGAGTTCAGTGAAAATTGAATTTGATGATGAAGTTCGAGCTTTAATTCTCTTATCATCTTTACTAGACAGTTGGAATGCTACTGTTACAGCAGTCAGCAGTTCGTCGGGAAACAGCAAATTAAAATTCGACGATGTTCGGGATCTGGTACTGAGCGAAGAAATTCGACGGAGAGAATCGGGTGAAGCATCAACCTCCTCAGCCTTGCACACGGAGTCCAGAGGGAGAACTTCAGAAAGAAATTCAAATCGTGGAAGATCGAAATCCAGAAGGGGAAAATCAAGAACAGGAAATAAAGATTTTACCTGTTATAATTGCGGCAAGAAGGGCCACTTCAAAAGAGATTGCCGAGCACCGAAGAAAAATATCGGCGCACAGGAATCTGCCAACATGACGGAGGAGACAGGTGATGCCATGATTTTAAGCGTCAACAGTCCGATTGAATCATGGATTTTGGATTCAGGGGCATCTTTCCACTCCACGCCATGCCAAGAAATCATGGAGAACTATGTCAGTGGTGATTTTGGGAAGGTTCATCTTGCTGATGATGAAACCTTGAAGATCGTCGGAAAAGGAGACATCCGACTAAAGCTGCCAAACCAGACCACCTGTAAGCTGACAGGAGTGAGACATATTCCTGGTCTCAAAAGAAATTTGATTTTTGTAGGACAGCTTGATGGAGAAGGATACAGTACAACCTTTTCAGGCTGTGAATGGAAGATTACCAAAGGAGCACTCGTCATTGCTCGTGGTAAGAAGACTGGTACTCTCTATGTAACCTCAAATTTAGAGAATATCATTGCAGTAGCAGATGTTGATGGAAAATCAAACCTATGGAACCAAAGGCTTGGCCATATGAGCGAGAAAGGAATGAAGACACTTCTGTCAAAAGGGAAGTTGCCGGATCTAAAGAATGTAGTTGTCAGACTATGCGAAGATTGCATCTTTGGCAAACAAAAGAAAGTTAGTTTTGCAAAGATTGGCAAGACACCCAAGGCAGAAAGGTTAGAATTGGTTCATACTGATGTATGGGGACCATCCCCAGTTCCATCTCTTGCAGGCTCACTATATTATGTCACCTTCATCGATGATTCAACAAGGAAGGTGTGGGTTTATTTTCTGAAGAAGAAATCAGAAGTCTTTGATACCTTCAGAAAATGGAAGGCCATGGTGGAAAATGAGACTGGTTTAAAAGTCAAGCGGTTGAGGTCTGATAATGGAGGAGAGTACAGAGATAGTAGATTCAGAGATTTCTGCGCAAACAATGGGATCAAGATGGAGACAACAGTTCCCATAACACCGCAACAGAATGGCGTAGCAGAGCGCATGAACAGAACTCTGAATGAACGTGCCAGAAGCATGAGGATACATGTCGGATTGCCCAAATTTCTATGGGCTGAAGCTATCAACACTGCAGCTTACCTGATCAACCGTGGGCCCTCAGTTCCTTTGGATGGCAGAATACCAGAGGAAGTTTGGAGCAAGAAAGAAATAAACCTTTCACACTTAAGAGTGTTTGGTTGTATTTCTTATGTACACATAGACTATGTTGAAAGAAGTAAACTTGATGCTAAGTCCAACAAATGTGCCTTTGTTGGTTACGGCGGTGATGAGTTCGGTTATCGGTTTTGGGACTACGAAAATCGAAAGATCATTAGAAGCAGAGACGTCATTTTCAATGAAAATGTGATGTACAAAAATAGGTCAACCGCAGAATCAAGTAATACCGAAGCTGAAACAAAGGAATTTGTTGATTTCGAGAAGATTTCTGGAAATGATGTTCAGATCAGTCCTGAAGCAGTTCAAGAGGAAGAACCAGGCACACCAGAACTAAGACGCTCCTCCAGAATTCCTAACCAACCCAACGGTATTCTCCTTCTTTGCACTACTTGTTGCTGACTGACAAGTGGAGGATTCAATCAAGTGGGAGTCTTCCATGAAAGATGAGATGGACTCGCTTTTATCAAATCAGACGTGGGAATTAGCTGAATTACCACCAGGCAAGAAAGCGCTTCACAACAAGTGGATTTACAGGATCAAAGAAGAGCAGATAGGAGCAAACGCTACAAAGCGAGATTGGTTGTCAAAGGTTTTCAGCAAAAAGAAGGTATTGACTACAATGAAATTTTCTCTCCAGTCGTGAAACTGTCTACAATCATACTGGTGTTGAAAATTGTAGCTGCAGAGAATTTACATCTTGAGCAGTTAGATGTAAAGACAGTTTTCCTTCATGGTGATTTGGAGGAAGAAATCTATATGAGGCAGCCAGAAGGCTTCATAGAGGCAGACAAGAAAAACCTGGTATGCAGGTTGAAGAAGAGCTTGTATGGTTTAAAATAAGCTCCTAGACAGTGGTACAAGAAATTCGATAGTTTCATGAGTAACAGTGGTTTTACCAGATGCCAAGCAGATCATTGTTGCTACATCAAGAGGTTCGACAATAGCTTCATTATTTTATTGTTGTACGTTGATGACATGCTCGTTGCAGGCTTAGACAAGCAAGAGATTATAAACTTGAAGCAAAAATTGTCAAAGCAGTTTGCTATGAAGGATCTGGGCGCTGCAAAGCAGATTCTTGGGATGAGGATCAAGAGAGACACAAAGTCAGGGACTTTGATATTATCACAGGCTGAGTACATCAACAAAATACTCTCCAGGTTCAACATGCAAGATGCTAAACCAGTAAGTACACCTTTAGGTGTTCATTTCAGACTCTCCAAAGAACAGTCACCAAAGACGGAGGAAGAACGTGTACACATGGTGAAGGTATCGTACGCCTCAGCGATTGGAAGTCTGATGTATGCCATGGTTTGTACCAGACCAGATATTGCTCAAGCAGTGGGAGCTGTTAGCAGGTACATGAATAATCCGGGCAAAGTACACTGGGAAGCAGTCAAATGGATCCTCAGATATCTGCGGGGTACCACAAACAAAACACTTTGTTTCAAAGGTGGAGATACGATACTGACAGGCTATGTAGATGCTGACTTAGCCAGAAATGTTGACATCAGAAGGAGCACTACAAGGTATGTCTATACTCTAGGAGGAACCGCAGTGAGTTGGGTTTCTCAACTACAGAAGATAGTTGCTCTCTCCACAACTGAAGCAAAATATGTCGTTGTTACGGAAGCCAGCAAGGAGATGGTTTGGCTCCAAAGTTTCTTGGAAGAGTTAGGCAAGAAACAAGAAAACAATGTCTTGTATTGCGACAGTCAAAGTGCTATACATCTAGCAAAGAATCCGTCTTTTCATTCCAGGACAAAGCACATACAATTGCGATATCATTTTATCCGGTCTCTTCTGGAAGATGAGATTTTGAAACTTGAAAAGATCAGTGGAGCTCAAAATCCGGCAGATATGTTGAAAAAGACGGTGACTACAGACAAACTAAAGTTGTGTTCAACTTCAGTTGGCATGCTAGAGTAACAAGACTAGAAAAGCTGTTGCAATGATCGAGGTGTGAAGACAGATTAAAATTAGTCTTCAAGTGGGAGATTGTTGAAAGTATTAAAATGGTTTTCAAGTTTGGTAACCAACTTTGAAAAAATGGTTTTCAAAGTTTGGTAAATGTTTCTTTGAAAATGGTTTTCAAAGTTTAGTAAATGTTTCTTTGAAAAATAGTTTTTCAAAGTTTGGTAAATGTTTGTTGAAAAATGATAATGGGATAATCACAATTAATCTCTAGGTTTTAGGGTATTTACAAGATTAAGTCCTTAAGTTTCAACTATAAATACCCTAGCTCATTTAGCTTTAAAACCATTCCAAAAATCATTTCTTTCTCCCAATACTAGAGAGTTTTCTTGTGAGTAGTGAGTGTTTTGTAAACACCTGTAAATTTTCTCTCTTAGTAAAAGATCTGTAGCAGTCCGGAGACGTAAGCACAATTGGCTGAACTCCGTTATCAATTTCGGGTATTATTTTTCCGCTTTT